GTAGCATCCCACTTAGCGTTGGAGCTACATCCATCGTTCATTAAGTTCTCTAAAAATTTACAATTTAAACCATACAACTTGATAAGATTAGTTATAGATCTCATATGTGACCTCCAACGAGTATCACAAGGTCGTTGTAAAGTACTAACCTTGTTAGCACTTTTTCCTGTCTCAAGTTCACCTTCCGCTAGCTGAAGTGCAATGTTGGCTGCTTCTACACCTTTTAACTAGTTTGACTCTTACAAGAACTAGTAACTGCATTTACAATAAATGATAAGTTTATGAAAAATTCATGTACCTAATATATATCTTTAGCAGCTACAACCAACGATAACTTGAGATGATGAGCTGTATAGTGCACATTATATTCTTGAGGAGAGTCCTTCAGAAATAAAGCTTGTTGTCCATTCCACTCACCACGCATATTACTAGCACCGTTATATCCTTGTCAATGAAGATTTTGAATCTTGAACTTATAGAATGAAAGAGTTGAGCGAATTGAAGAATACAATGTCTTTGATGTTGTTTTTTCCACATGAACACTATAAAAAGCGCTCTTGCATCAACCCTTTAGCATCAGCCAAGTGAAGAACAATCGCCATTTTTTCATGACTGCTTTCATCACTTGCATAATCCACAATGATAGAATATTTAGAATTTTCAACTTCTTCAAAGATGTGATTTTGTACCTTCTTAGCCAAAACATGAAAATTTTATTCTAAATTTCATGAGATGTGTACTTCGCATTAAGTGGGGCCTTATCCAATGCCACATGACTTATTTCTTCATTTTGATTAGCCAGAAGTTGAAGAAACTCAATAAAGTTACCACGATTACTTGACTCTTCAATCTCATCGTGACCTCTAAAAGCAGCTCATTGCAGTGCCAATACAAGAGCAATAGTTATTGAAGCTTTTACACGGGTTATATTCTTCTTCACTTCTTCAGATGTATGTATTTTCATTGCTTTGTCGATGTTGCCAAACTATTGCAACAAAGCAGCACCCTTTCTCACGACATTATTGTGATGAGATTCGGCTCACCACCACTATGCTTTCGAAAAGAACAAGCCACTCCACTAACTTTTTCCAATTTCGAAAACCTCCATTTTTAAATGCATCCCAATCAGATTTAGTGGTTGGCTTTTCTGCAAAGAGATAGCATGGAAGACAATAAGCAACATCCTTTGTTTATGAATATTAAATCCAATGAAATTTTACATACCACGAGACTAGAAGCTGCAAAAATTATTACCAAATTGAGTATGAGGAAAATCAGGAAGTTCAACTCGGTGAGGACCGGTTGTCAAATATGCCCGCCTTATCTCATCATGGTTGCCATGTGGATATGTCTACATTGGCTTTCGTAAAGCAGGATCAAGTTCAACTATAGCAAAAGACGGATTGGTAACTGTTAACCAGGTCCTTGGATATGAAGAAAAAAATGGAGCTAGGTTGCTTGATGTACACGAAATGGAATAATTTAGGAAAGCATTGGATGTGTGCTCATCGGATGATTTAGAGTTCTATAGAACTCCATTACTTGGGACAATGGAAGAATAGATGAAGGCATTTTGGAGAGAGACGAGACATAATGGTAGCATATGCGGATTGACGGAAGTTGTTTCCAGAGGCCAGAGTTTACTACCTAGAAGCATATCAGATCATGTTTCAATTCATTTACATATGAGAATACAAGATGAGAGAGTGCGGTGGGGTGGCAATTTAGGTTTGAGACCTATTGGAAAAGGCATGATGATTGTAGTAAGGTTATTAAGCAAGCTTGGAATGAGAATCCTATGGGAACGATGGAGGAAAGAATAAAAAGGTGTGAAGAAGAACTGAAAAATGGATTAAAGAAAATTTTGGTGATATGAGGAAGAGAAAAGTAGAGGCAACACTAGCTACTTTGAGCAAAACAGTGAAGAGTAAGGTAGTGATATTGCAAAGATGACAGTGGACAAGGAACTCCAGGAATTACTGTTCCAAGAGGAATTGATGTGGAAACAACAATCAAAGGCTAAATGGCTTAAAGAAGGGGATCACAACACACGCTTCCATAAAAGAGGTACATATCATAGGAGGAGAAATACAATTTGAGAACTATTCTTTCAAAAGAGTTGGGCAACTGTAAAACAGTTGTGACTTCGGACCTATAAAATTTTTTGACATAAAGAGTTATACCACCAGATCTTAACTGTACACTCTTTGCTTTGATTCCAAATAAAATAAGACTCAATGATCCCAATGGAATTTCGACCAATCGGTTTGCATAAAGTTTCGTACAAGATACTATCCAAAGTACTTGCAAACATGATGAAGAAGGTGCTCAATAAAGTCATAACAAAAGTTCAAAGTGCATTTGTACCAGGAAGATTCACACATGACAATATTATTGTGGCTTTTGAGGGCTTTCATGATATTAAAACTATGGAAAAAGGCTATAAAGAATACATGGTGCAAAATTTGATATTTCTAAAGCCTACGATGGAGGTGAATAGGGTTTTCTCAAACTGGATTTTTTAGAGTAGTGGGTGAAACTATTGATGCAATGTGTCACTACAGTGTCATATTGAGCTTTAGTTAATGAGCATAGATCATAAATCATTAAATCCTAAAGTGGATGAGACAAGGGGACCTAATTTCACATTACTTGTTTCTTTTATGTGCATAATGTTTATCAGCTTTGACTTATAAGGAAGAACTAAAGGCATATTGCAGGCAAGATAAACAAATTAAGAACTATCTTTTCATTCTCTTTGTGGCCAATCTTTTAGAAGCTCCACTTCATACTTACACTGGAAACCCCTCGACTGGAGTTCACATCAGTGGCGGAGCCTGAAAATTGGTCAAGGGGGCGTCTTTTCCATATCAGAAAAAGTCAACTTTATACGGGTCAACTCTAAACGAAAAAAGTTAATAACATAATATCCAAAATTCGTACAATTATATAATAATAGTAATACATATAGCACTTACAATGAACAGCGACAAGATTTCATATGGTGAAGCATTATAGAACTCGTTCATTTTCCAAATTAGCACACAAATCTTGTTCAATATATGTCACTAATGCATCGTTCAACTACTCATCATTCATCCGGTTTCGAAGATCTTTCTTGATATATTTTATGGATGAAAATGATCTATCTACACTTGCTATTACAATAGGTTGAATAAGTGTCAACTTGATAAGTAAATAAACATTTTGGAGAGCTCTCTTCTCTCGCTTCTCGCTATGGCTGTCTATCAGCGGCAGCAATTGGGAATAAACAAAATGCTAGGGATTGTGGCGGGACGCAAATTTTATTTAGTTGTAGGTCTTAGAAAATAATAATTAAAATAATCCGGACAAGACTTTTAACATGAAAGTTGCCCAACTGAGATGACAAGGTGGTCTATTTGCCAATGCACCATCGCAGGTTCCAATCACAAGTTCCCTATATATATTGGGGGCTTTTTTTCATAAGCCAAGGGGGCTGCACGCACCCCCTTGTTTTCAAACAGCTCCGCCACTAGTTCACAGTCAACCGGGTTTAGCATCCAAACCATACAGTTCATCTAATTCTAAAGTGCATTAAGAGGAAGAAGAAGTCTTCTTTTACCATGTTCTTCTGAAAGGATGGAATGACGTTGAGTGGTTGATACATGACTCCCTTATCTAGTGTTTTTCTGGAGTAATGGCGAGCACGTTGCTGAGCAGATGCAATGATTAGGTGTCTATGAAATGAAATCTCACAGCTGTGTTTTGTTTGAAGCTTGCAGTTGTGAGTATTGGTATGGGCAAACTCTCTCTCTCTCTCTCATTTGCTTTCCGGAGTGTAACAATTGTAATTATGGGGTTCAGGGTTCCTTGTAGAATGAGACATCAATGGGTGAACTTAGAAAGTCATATTTGCCCAGAAACATAGGCAACTACAAATGTTGTGCATATTATTTAGATTCAATGAAGTAATCATCTGCAAAGATTCTTTCTTTTCTGGCTAAAAATCTCGTAGCTCGTTTAAACAAACACATCCACGTTTTGTTTGATCTGCAAAGAGCACAAAGTACGTCTTTTTCCCGATAGATTTTGAGATACATATGTTATCACAACCCACTTAAATTCAACTCATATCCATCGATATTTGGTGGGTTAATGTCTTACATCTAAATATTATCTTAATCTTAATCTTATTTTAATAAATATTAAAATAGTTTGAGATTACAACCCTTGCCACACAAGCTTCGGTAAAATTTCATTCATCCAAATAAGATTGCGAAGGAGTTTATTTTAAGTAGTTTCATATTGGGCCTCAAAACATAAAAACAACTCACTTTCATTTGTTTTTATCTTTTTAATCGTTCCCTGTGTTAATAAATAAAATATATCAGTTCCAAAAAACATATTGTGTTGATTTCTGTCAATTTTCCTGTTTTACTTTATTATCATCTATGCCAATTATAATTATTGCTTTATGTTATTAGCTCTTTTTAATGATTCTGTAATTTCTTTTCTTGACGTCTGATAATTATATAAAATTATAAATGCATATAACTAAAAACATTCGGCATATAATATAGATTCAGGGAAGGATATTACAATGCCTATAAACATATATAAGTTAAAAGTACAAGTTCAATTTAAACTATAAAAGACATTATATGATAAACGTTAAAATATATGGTCAGTTTGTATTAAAAAAATTGTGAAAGAAATGTGTATAAATTTATACAATGACAATGTTAGTATAGTACCCAAACCTTCAAAATATTTACAAACAATTTCGTACTAAGTAGTTACTATTTGGCACCTAAAGATTTTGACCTGTCCATCTATGGTACCTAAATTCCTAATATTTTACAAATTTGGTCGAGAACTTTTTTTTTTTTTTTTTTTTGTAAATGTGATATTTGTTTGTTTTAATTGTTAGGTGCGACCTGACACCTCTAAGTTAAAGACCAGGTACCACTAGTATCCTGCAAATTAAGTCCAGACCATCTTCACATGCGTTCCAACCTTGTTATCTGGCAATTTTGTTCGTTAGAGTGTTCATGCAATGGAGAAGTTCAACTTGGCATAAAAAAGGGGCAAAATGAAATTAACATTTTAGGTACAGAAGTCAAAGTTGATAGAATAGTATAATTCTCTTTACTGGTCCTAGACCAGATTACAAAAATGGCCTGGGATTATAAGTCACATGCTATTTGGTAGAAGGGATAACATATATCGCTGCTACACTTTCAAGTTGACAGCCAGCTCCAGAAGAGCTTCCACCTTGTGTATCGTCCTTTGCTTCTCTTGCTGTTTCAGCTTGTTGGCTATGGATTCAGGATCAAGCCCTTGTGCATCGGCTTCTTCGTTCTGCTCTGCTCTCACTTCTTGGAGCAGTTCATCAACCTCTCTCACAAAATCTACCCTTAGAAGAACATCTTCAGCATCTGGAGGGGGTCTAATTGGCCCCTCATGCTGGATCAGGAAAAAGAAGGAAATTTCGGGAGCCTTAGCCATCTCAGTATCTAACCTCTCAAACATAAGGTGCAATTTACTAATCACAAACCAGTTCACAGATAGGGTAAATTATAGTGACACTGCCTACCATGAAACTTTTAATTAAGCCTTAGCCATCTCAGTATATAACCTCTTAAACCTAAATATTTTAGGCCGAATAAAACTTGCAAAAGAGATTAGGAAGGAACCTTGTCAATGTCGAACCCAGTTGGAACAAGAATGCTAAATGGATCCTCACGTGGGAAGGTAGCAATCATGAGTTTCTTGCAATCCTTCAGCCAGCCTTCGTCGTTGAAACCATCATGCATGTTCAAGAGATCATTGAGAAGTCTCATCGCAGGAGTAGCCTCCCTTTTCAAAATCTCTGTCTAAAAATACATTGTGAAGTCCAGCTATTACAATGGAAGAAAGACGCAAAAAACCAGAAACTACAACTACCAAAATTATGCTGACTTTCTAACAGAGAAGATTCCCTTTAGCTTAGGCGCTTTTGGTAAGAACAAATTCATACCTCAACCCTCCTGTATAAAAGATCAAGACTCCGGATGACATCCTTCTCCTCCTGGATGGGATTAGTAACTAGTTCAGTGCACGTAAAACACACAGAAATGACAATAATGTTTTGCTTTCCTTCTTGATCTTTTCTATAGGGAGGATGATTTAGTAAAGGCTATCTAGGTTATAACACTTCACAATGCATAAGAAGCCCAATATTTATGAATCTTGCAGCTTCTAGAGTAAATCTGGGGGAAATATAACTTGATCAGAGCAGAGGCTAATTCCACTTACATCGCGTCGAGCAAGATCAAGGCGATTCCAAATGACCATCAGAACAAGTTCGTTAAGTTCCCCTTTCTCAGCAGCTTCTTCGATTCTCTACATGAACAAAAGTAAACTAGTTGAAAACTGAATACTGGCCATTTTTTGCGATGGATTCAGACTACAATACTGGATGACTGCACAACCCTGGCCATTTGTAGCACATAGGAAATAAAGAATGTTGATCCAACAAGACAACGGTTTCAAGATTGCGATCATGATAATGACAGTGGATTAGCAGTGTTCCAAGCAAGACTCTTTCTCATGGAGAATTGTCTGAATCAAATGGGCATATTCTTGACCGTGTAAAAGAAAACATAGATAGGAACTAGAAACTAAGGAAAAAGTAAATCACATACATGAACATTTTCTGCTTCTAACGACATGAGATCAATAAGACATCGAATTGGCTAACTTTTGAATCATTAGCCACTTATTTTGTTGTTCGATTTTGATGAAATTCTAATCATTAAGCCGGAAAGAGAAAGGAGCATTACCTCCTCCACTTCTTCAGCAGCTCTGATGAAGCTGGAGATCAGCTTCTTAGCTTTACTCACATCTTCTTGTGGATAACCCTTGAGCCTAGTCCCAATTTCCCGGTACTCCTCAATTTTCCTCTCTTCTTCTTCATCTTCCAGTTGCCGCTGCCTCTCCAACTCTTTTGCCTTTTCTTTCTGTTGGGCTTGCCATTCCTAGGAAGGAGTAAGTAGTAAACAGTAAATCAGGGAACCAAACGAGTTGACCATAGTGGAAATGTTTCTTGACCACCATCCCAATCCCAATAGCATATTAAGTTCTGGAAAATCCTAACATATGGTTACCAATCGATACACCGATAATGGGACAGAATTACAATTTGGAAAAAGCTAATAGATTGGGAGTAAATTAGGCGTACATCGTCGTAGTACTCGTTGGGCATGCCTTCCAAGATGATTTCTACTTCTTTACCAGCAACACACCTTCTGACGACTGCCACAGAGTTACCGGAGGCGGTGGCCGGGTTGAATTGCTTCAAAGGCTTGTTGGAGTTGAAGTGGCAGTGGGAAGTGGGGAGAGGAAGAGTGAAATTGAAGAAGAGCAGAGGAGATGGTGGGGAAGTGGAGAGGTTTCGGAGGAGCAAAGAATTTGCGTCCATCAGGAGAAAGGGAAATCCAGGGTTTTGAAATTCTGGCGAACTTCCGATTTTCAGCGTCTTTGGAATTCGCCGGCGGCGGGTGAGCTCCTACTGGATACTATTAGTTCAGCAAGAATGCAGGATAATGATTCCCCGTCTCCTACCTCTTTTGGGTGTTGTAGGCGGGTAAATTACACCTAGAGCCACTGGAATTATTAATATTTCCAGATGAAATACGCTTGTAAGATGTAAGTTGAATTCGAGCTTAGCTCATTAAGCCGAATTTTACTGAGGTTGAACTTGACTTCAAATGTTCATTAAAAAGTAAGTTGAATTCGAGCTTAGCTCATTAAGTAGATCATGAGTTCTACTTCTGCTCAACTCATTAATTAGCTCAGCTCGTTTATAAATTTAAATGTTTGAACCTTTAAGTTAAACACTCAAATAATTTATAATTTGAATACCCCAATATTTGAATATGATATGGGGTTAATATATTTGTATGAGCTGAAGTTTTCACATAATAAATATAATGATCAATCTTTTCGATCTATAACATCATGGCCTGAACTATACGAAATTTGCCAAACCCGAAAATTGACTGTTATATTGGATGGTCAAACGTGTTGACTAACGATCAACACGCCACATCACCGCCAAGTCATCACCTTTCACTTAATTTTTTTATATTTCCACCTATTACTATTAATTTTTATTTTGAATAAAAATTGAAATATAAATGTTTTAAAAATGAAAAATGGAAATGAATTTTTTCAATTTTTTAAGTGAATTTCATTTTTCACTTAAAAAAATTCATTTTTCAAATTTTTTATTCAAAATGAAAAAATAAATAGAAATAGGTGGAAAATATAAAACATTTCAAGTGAAAGGTGCTGACTTGGCGGTGACATGGCGCGTTGACCGACCGTCCAAGATAACAGTTAATTTTCGAGTTTGGCCAATTTCGTTACTTTGGTGTATAGTGCAGGTCATGATGTTATAGATCAAAATGATTGGCCAGGATGTTTATTATGTGAAAAATTCATGCCATACAAATATATTAACTTGTTGGGAGTGTTGCTAAGAGACTCCCCGCACAGAATAAGTAATACGGCGTTCAATCGACAACGTATGACACTCTAAACCCGCTACGAGTATATAAAGGTATGAAACCCACCAATGGAGGGGACTTCTTCTTCCCTCTCTCCTCACTTTCCACTTTCTACTATCTCTCTACACTTTATCTCTCTATCTATTCTCTCAACTCTCTCCACAAACAGACACTGACTTGATCGTCGGAGCTTAATCCGGGGGCAACCCCGGCTCTTTCACAGGTTCTCTCCCTCCCGACGTGATCGGACGAACGGATGACGAGTCAACCCACACCAACAAATATCATTGTTCATACCACGAGCAAGATGGTTCAAACAATTGGCGCCCACCGTAGGGCCGGATTCGGAGGTCCATTCGTTCGATTTCAGAGGACGGGAAAACCGATTCTACGGCGACAATATCATCCTTGTTTCCACCATTTGGCTCTACAAAAAAAAATGCTGAAAAGTTTCAGAATTTTGATCGCAGGGAAAAAATGCGGCATTGGAACTCTGGCGAGGAAAGGAAGAACGATTAGCCCATAGTCACTAGTCTAGTCACATCACCCTTCTTCTGCTCTCTCACAAACTTCATCTACCTTTTGTTATCAAAGTCAAAAAGCACACTGTTTGCTACAGTGGGAGTCACATCAACATCACTTTCTCTTTTCTCAAGGCAACACATTGAGACCTGTTTCCCAAGACCAAAGCTCTTCCGCGCGTTCAGTCCGTCCAAGCTCTCAAGCTCCCCGACGCTACTCCCCTTATCAGCCGCGCTCGAGCTCTCTCACAGCTATCTCCGCGCGGGTAAAAGCAATGCCACACAAAGAAGAAGTTGAACCAGCGAAAAAAAAAGTCTATATATCAAGGGCGGTGGTTGATTTGCCACGCGTCCAATGAGCCCGCGCGGCCCAACGAGCCCGCGCGGCCCAACCTCACGCCACCAGCACCACGCCACCGCCCATTAAGTCGATTAAAATTCCTCAGTGGAAGTTCGAACCCGTGCACTAATTTAGACAGCCTAGCGTGCAAACTAGTAAGCTACAACAACAACTTGTGCTACAAGATGCGTCGCGCCTATATTTCACCAACTGACGATCAAGTGGGCCAATCATCACTCGCGGCCCATGTTCAGAGTCCGCTCCAGTCCATTTCGCGTCATCTGATCCCACCCTCATCTCGCGGTCGCCCAGCCCAAATCCCACGCCGCACCCTCCCCCCAGCCCGTGTTGCGCCCGGCCACACGTGCTAGCCCGCGCTATAGCAGCACTGCGCCACATGGGCCTGCCAACAGTTTCGGCCCGCTTCGACTTCTGCTCGACCCGCGCCAGACAGCAAAGCCCAACATCGCGTCATCTGATCCCACCCTAATCTCGCGGTCGCCCAGCCCAAATCCCGCGCCGCACCCTCCCACCAGCCTGTGTTGCGCCCGGCCACACGCGCTAGCCCGCGCTATAGCAGCACTGCGCCACATGGGCCTGCCAACAGTTTCGGCCCGCTTCGACTTCTGCTCGACCCGCGCCAGACAGCAAAGCCCAACATCGCGGTCAATCATCGCTCCACTCGCGTCAAAAATAATATTGGCGCCACCAAGATTCGAACCCGCACCACCAATTAGCGAGGACTACAAGTTGGCCGGCAGGCTACAAGCCTTCATTGGGCTTCAGTGGTGCAGCGCCTTCCTTTGAACTACTTCTCCGCGCCACCCTACAGCCCATGCTTGCGGCCCACCGCCGCCTCAACACTCGCGGCCCAACGGGCGGACGTTCAAACAGACACTCGCGGCCCGCATCCTCTACGAGATCCGCCCCTCAAGGCCCGCCAAGCCCAAGCTCCGCTTCGCTTCAAAAAAAATATATTGTTGTCGCCGCCAGCCTTCGAACACGCACCACTCCTCCACAAGACAAGCATCCTTACCCGTAGGCTACAGTCGCGACTTGTGACCCTTTGGCACAGAGTACTCTCATTTTAACAACACTCCACGCGTAGATGAAGCCCAAGTCGCGGCCCAAACTCGCGGATCCGTGTCCGCCCTACCTTCATACTTCCGGCCCGCGCAACGGAGTGAAGCTGTAGAGTGAAAAGCATCACAAAAATCATGTGCTTGACTGGGGATTCGAACCAGGGTTCAATCACTCGCATGCAAGCAACATCACCAGCAGGCTACAAGCGAGCCTTGTGTTTCAATGGTGCGGCGTCTGAATTTTAACATTCGCGCCCACTCAGTTTGAAAGAACAAAAAATAGCAATAGTCCAGCACTATTCGCGCCCACTCAGTTCTACGGAACAAAAAATAGCAATAGTCCCGCACTATTCGCGCCCACTCAGTTCGAAAGAACAAAAAGTCGCAATAGTCACGAACTATTCGCGCCCACTCAGTTCTACGGACCAAAAAATAGCAATGGTCCCGCACTATTCGCGCCCACTCAGTTCCACGGAACAAAAAATAGCAATAGACATGCACTATTCGCACCCACTCAGTTCCACGGAACAAAAAATAGCAATAGTCCCGCACTATTCGCGCCCACTCAGTTCGAAAGAACCAAAAAGAAAAAAAAATTGATGCTTCCGCAGGGAATTGAACCCACGCTAGTTCTCCATCAGACAAACGACATAACCAATATGCCACAACATTAATTAGTGAGAAACTAGGCGGAGCGCTCTATTTCATCATCCGCAAGCCGTCTCTCCAAAGCACAGAAGATTACTTCACTCGCGGCCCACCCACGAAAGATGGGCAACACATCCCTCGCTTCTCGTTCACAAGCGCGCAGCAAGGTGGGCCCACACTCGCGCGGCCCAGGCCCCGCCCGCTTAAATCCATCTGATCCGACTAACGAGCCCACCCTCCGCCTGACCTCCAGTCCGCCACGTCCGGCCCGCGTCACCAGCACTCGACGCGCGCAAGCCCAACTCGCGGGAGCACTAGACGCGCGCAAGCCCAGCTCGCGGCCCCACCCGCGCAGCATTTTCCCCCAGCCCGCGACGCGCGCAAGCGGCCCAACTCGCGCGAGCACTCGACGCGCGCAAGCCCAACTCGCGGCCCAACCCGCGCAGGAATTGAACTCGCATCCTTCCTCCGCTAGACAAGCAACATCACCAGTGGGCTGCATACGCACTTAGTGATTAAATGGCGCAGCGTCTGATTTTCAACCACTCCTGCCGCCACGGTACCAATATAAAGCTAAGTATTCTATCATTATTAAATTTGAAATATCTTACTTCCATGAGCGTTAATGGCGCTGATGGGGGGCAAAACTCAAGAAGCTGGCACCGCGTCAGTCAAACGCGCCACCAGCTGGGGGGCAACTGGGGTACATAGGGCCCCACCCAAAATTACCGACGAAGATTTAAAAAATAAAATATAAGCTAGTGATGAGTTAAAACTCACCACCAGCTTGGGGGGCAATTGTTGGGAGTGTTGCTAAGAGACTCCCCGCAGAGAATAAGTAATACGGCGTCCAATCGACAACGTATGACACTCTAAACCCGCTACGAGTATATAAAGGTATGAAACCCACCAATGGAGGGGACTTCTTCTTCCCTCTCTCCTCACTTTCCACTTTCTACTATCTCTCTACACTTTATCTCTCTATCTATTCTCTCAACTCTCTCCACAAACAGACACTGACTTGATCGTCGGAGCTTAATCCGGGGGGCAACCCCGGCTCTTTCACAGGTTCTCTCCCTCCCGACGGGATCGGACGAACGGATGACGAGTCAACCCACACCAACAAATATCATTGTTCATACCACGAGCAAGATGGTTCAAACATAACTCTATGATAAATGTGGTTAATTAAAAAAAAAAACCTAATTCCACTAGGAAGCCCAAACTATCTTAAAAGTGTCATTTGTGTCAGAAACTATTCAATATGACAAATCTGGCACGAACTATATGCGTTGCATGACATTTGTGTCCTAAACTTATTCAATATGACAAATCTTGCACAAACCACATAGATGCTAACTAGATTTTCTTATAAATACTAACGGTCTACGCCGATCAACATTAACAAAAAAATAGTTCATGCCAGATTTGTTATATTGAATAGTTTAAGACACAAATGACATGTTTTAAATAGTTTGGATTTTCTAATGGAATTAGCCCAAAAAATAATGATAGTCAAATTTTCATCACTAATTGATCTCATGTTTATATATTACATAATATAATTAAGTTCGTAATTTTTAAATAATTCATGTTATTTAATACTCATTAGTAACTAAGCATTCTCTAATACATAATTTCTCTTTCAAATTATAAATGTGGCAAATTTGGTCACGTACTCAAAATCTTCAACCATTATATATTATGAGATATATAATCTAAC